CTCCCCCAGCCCCCTCCCCTCGCCGCGCTCCCGCCCTCCCTCCCCTCGGAGCCGGGGCGCTGCGGTAGCCTCGAACTCCCGGTGCAGTGCAGCAGCACCCCCCGCGACCCCCGTCCCTCCGCCCTCGACCAATCCTCCGCTCTCGCCCCCCCTCCCCGCCCCCCATCCGCTGCCATCTCCTGGAGTGCCCGGAGTTAATATCTGCCCATCCACCCGCCGCTTCTTTCCTCCATCCAGCGATTTTTATTTTTTATTAAGTGTCTCTTCCTTTTTCTTTTTCTTTCTTTTCTTTCCTTCTTCTTTTTTTTATTTTTTGGCATTGCTTTGCAGATGTTGGGATGAGAGTCGGAGCTGAATACCAAGCTCGGATCCCTGAATTTGATCCAGGTAGATATATTTGCTTAAGCAAAATCCCGTCTCCCTTTTTCTGGGCTCGATTTGGGGTAGACGGGGTCGGGGTCCGGGCGTGGGGCTGGGAGGGGATGTGGGGCTGGGCTGGGCAGGCATCCGTGGCGCGGAGGCTGTCAGGCTTGGCCGGGCTGTGACACAGGGCGTGTGGGCAGATGTGTGCATGGCAAGGTTAACATGGTTCCCTTTGGAGGCCACTTGCCCGGTGCTGGCATCGCCTTTCTGACCCTGCAGCCCGAAGCGGGGTCGGGGTGAGCAGAGGGAAAACGGCCCTTGGCGGAGGCCGGGGGAGGAGCGGCTGCGGAGCCGAGGGCTGTAGCAGAGGGTGTGCATGAGGGCTGTGTGTGGACCAGCCATGCAAATGTCAGTTGCCACCAAGCCGGCTCTGGGAGCGGAGGGCCGCGCTCCGCAAGGCGGGCGGCGGAGACCCGGGCGGCTGTCAGCGGCCGACGCCGAGGGCGAGCCCCGCCGACCCGCGCGCGGACGGGATCGTCTCGGTTCTTTCTTTTTGGCTAGGTGGTGTAGCTTTGGTCGCGGCATCTCTGCGGAGTGTAGGAGCCGCAGGGAGAAAGGGGTGGGGGAAGGGGGTGGGGAGACGCCGGCGGCACACCTCGCTCGCGAGCCAGCCCTAGGAAGTCAGACCACAGGACAGTGGCTGCAGCTGCCAAGGAGACATTTTCTCCCCGAGCAGCCAGGTTCCAGCGTCCTCTGCCAACCCAGCTTGCGGGCTCCCTGTCTACTTTTCTCCAAACAGGCTCCCTGGCGGTCACGGGATTTCAGCCTGCGCGGGGATTGGGCGAGAGTTCCGCATATGGAGGCGCCCTCTCCGGAGCCTCTCCAAGTGGAGCGCCTTTCCTGCTCCCCACCCTTTCCAGACCCTCCTCAGCTCAGGCTTCGGACAGACTTTGGAGGGGCCCCACCTTTTTATTTTCTTACAGTTGTCATTATTTTGCCCAGTGCCCGCTCATGATAACTCTGGAATTCGGTATTAGAAATTAATAGGGCTTGCGATTTTCGGGGGGTGGGGACGGAGGGCATGTTTATTTAATTATTAGGGTAGAGAAGGGTATTTTCGTTCCTCTCCTTACCGTTAGGACAACGCAGAAAATTTACTAATCATTTAAAGAGTTCAGGTAGCAGCTCCTCCTGTTCCAAGGGAGGGGTATAAACCAATGAGTGTTAAAAGGATTGTCAGGACAGTCTCTTTTTTAATAGGTAAAAACGATAATGCTCACTAGATTTGGGCTGCCTTCTAAACAGCATGAATACATTTTATTCAAAGGCTATCGGTGTGTGTAGTGGTGGGCTTCACATAATTTTAAATGTTTTATGAAACTAATTTTCTTTATTGATGTAGCTAGTGGGTGAATGGCACTTTCACATTACCCTGGTGCCTCAGGGTTTAGCTTGACATTTGGAAAGAGCATACTTTGGCTTTAAGATAGACTGAATTCAATTCCCAACTCTTTCATTTTTGTGCTGTGAGCAAATCACCTGCCTTCCCTGAGACTCAGTTTTCCTAGCTATAAAAATTATTTCAAAGAATTCTTGCCAGGATTAAATGCCTGGGCATATGGCAGTTATTCAGTAAAGAGTAAAATTTATAATTATGAAGAATAATTTTGGGTTTATGTACACCTTTGTCATTTGGAGCTTTCATTGAAAGCTTTTTTTGGTATTGATAAAGTTATTTCCAAATTAGAAGTCAGCAGCTAGAATATATTTCTTAAGTTTATAAATTTACCTATCTCTTTGCCCCATTGGGGAGATTTCTGAGTCAACATTTCATAGACAACTACGCTCAGATGGATTAGGGGTCTTGTGTTTAAGAGTCAGGCTTTATGCTGGAACAAACTTGCACATGCCATAGCCTGATCCCTGTAAAGTATTTTTTTTTTTGTTTCATGGTAAACTAAACACTAACAAATTTGAAAATTTGAGGAATAATTGATTTAAACAGAATATTATTTAGGCAGTTTTACCTGGCTGTTATTTAGATTAACAAACTTAATTGATCAACATTTTGCTTATTTTGAACCTAAACAGAATATTTGGAGAAAAAAAAGTCACTGAAATGTTACTATTTTTTAAATAATTAAAGCCATATTTTTAATTTATTTACTCAGTCTATGATTGATTTTATTAGAATAAGGATAAACATCACATTCTTGAAATTCACTGATTCATTTTCTGCTTAATAATCTTCTCCAGAAGCATTCCAAACCCAAGGACACAATCTAAATGTTACCATTTACGCTTAGAAGGAAGGTTTTTTTGGTAGTTAGTATAGGCCAGTTTTGTCAAGCATATACAGATTATCAATTATTAGATACTTTTTACAAGGATATATTGAGCCTCTATGCCATTCAGCATTGTACTGCTGCTCTATTTTACTCTTATTCTAAGTGTTAAACCGTTGTGTGAAGTTTTTATTTCACATCAATTCAATATAATTAGGTCAGAATTTAAACACATTGCCATGGAAAAGATAAAATAAGGAAAAGAGCTTTATTAACTAATGATAGAAATTGAGAAATGGTTGGCTGCTCTCCTTGTTTTCTCATTTTATTATCTTCGTCTCAAACCACTCAATCCATCTTTACGAAGATGGCTCACCCATAGCTCTACAAATCATTTGGAAGAAGAATTCCTTGGGTGCTGATATTATGATGATCAGAATGTAGGAAAATTAAAAGAGGATTTTTTGTGGAGAATATTTTTATTGGAAGAGATAATGATAGTGATGATGATAGAAATTAAGCACATAAATAATGAATTAGTAAACCGATTAGAGAATATGAGAAGAATTGACATTTATGTTGGAATTATGGAAATTAAGAGATTAGGGGCAGTTTGCCTTAATATATGGGCCCTTTGCTAATGATGTCTTTATAATTTACTAACTGGAGTTTTGATTATTTTCTTTCAGTTGTTTACTTGATCTTCCCAACATTTATTTATTGCCTACTGACTGTGCTTACACCATGAGAAGCAATTTTGTGTGGTGATTAAGTCTCACCTCTTCCCTTTAATCTAATATGGCATAATGACCTTAGATGAACTGCCTGACTCCTTTGTGAAAGGGTGATAATGTTGAGTATATCACAAGAGTAAGTGAAAGTTAATGTATATAAAGCAGTGGTTTTCAAAATATGTTGCTTGCATACCCATAGAATAATTTTGGAAGAGCATATTCTCACGTATTTTAAAGATGATATCTATTATTTGTCACTAAGTTTAAATAGTTGAAGAATGTGATCTCTGGTATATTGAAAATATTAACACTTCAAAATAAAGCTTTTATATCCTTATTTTAAATGTATCCAATTAAACATAAATACTACGGTGATCTGATAGTATCTGTTTATAAAATATATAGACAGGCTCCTAACATTCTAAAAGTTTACATTGTTCCTTTTCATCTTTGAAATCATTTCCATGCATTTTCTTCACAGAATTTTATCTTGCATAATATATTTTTGTGCTTGAAAGTACTTTATCGATCACCTAACTTCTCTATCACCTTAATATCTATTCTTGAAAACATACGGTTCTGAGTGAATCTCTTCTGGCTTGAATTATTACAATTTATACATAATTGATTAAAATTGTATTAGTTATGGTGCCGTAAGTAAAGGAGGGCTTTGCTGACACCCTGTTTGGAACCCTGGAGGTTTTAAAATTTTGTGCCATGTACTGTTGTAAGATTTGGAATGCGTGAGAGACATGCCTTGTTTGAGGAGTGACAAGTAGAAGTAACATGTAGCTTAGACGACAGGTGAGTTCTCAGACAGATTGTCTTGGGAATGAGAACATAGGGAAGTTGAAGGTCTGAAAATTGATTGTCTTAAAACGTATTCATGCTCATGTTCCCCGGGGGAAGTCTTTGTTTATCCCAGTTTGAAGTTGGTATGTTAAGTGTGTAATTTAAGACCTTACATATAAATGGTAAAAATTTAAAAAATTTTTAGAGCATCTTAATATTCTCAATATTTAAGTTCTTAATGTATATTTGTTCCATTATGTCCATCAAAGTCCTTATTTTTAATATCTTTAAAGGAAATCTTAAAAAGTAATAGAAGATTTTTATTTTTGTACTTATTTTGAAATGCTATTGATGTAGAAATCCTGGCTTATCAAATTATATTTTTGTTTCTTAGTTGTTGGTTTTCTCTAATAGTTTCATAAATGTACTTTACCAACTGCAGTTAAAAGATCTAAATGATTTCAAAGGGATTAAACTTTTAAATGTTTTATTTAGAACTTTTAAACTGTGATTGTTCAACAATTTTGCTTTCAGAACTGGTATGCTACTATTATAGTCTTTTAAAATTATGGTTTAGTATCTGGATTTTGGTTTGTTAATCCATTCAGTAGGTAGGATACTTACAAGGATGATTATTTTGTTGATACATCAGGTTTGATTCTCAGTACGGTTTCTGATAGACAGTTCTGAGGTATAATCTTAAATATTATAGATAAATACAAAGTAAACAATGGGTTTATGTCCTTAAGATATTAATATCTTAGTTCATTCTGATTTTTACAATGAAAAGGCTAAAATTTTATTGGATATAAGCATCCTGCAGGGTAAATAAATTATTTTTAATAGTACAAGTTACTTTGTCCTATTCTTTTGTAGGAGGGGAAGCAAATCTGAGTTGCCAGAAAAACAAAAAAAGTTATTTTCATCTATTTAATCTCATTTTCAAAGGGTTGGTGAGAGAGGACATCAGCCATCTGAGTTATAGCCCCGTGAGGTTTTATTCATTTATTTTTCAGTTGATTGATAAGGTGAGAAGCCGCCTTTTCAGGATAAAGAAGAGAAGTTAAGGAGGAGTTGTTTTCAATAAGCATACACTAGCAGTAATGATTAAGTCTCATAAAATGGTCACCATATGCCAGGTACTTCAGTTATATTCATTTAATTTTTGAACAACTCTGTGAAGTAGGTACTCTCATCATCCATATTTTTAGAGATGAGGAAAATTGAGGCACAGATTAATTAGATGTGCCCAACATGACATACCTACCAAGTGGCAGAGCTGGGATTCAAGCTCTGGGAGTATGGTTCCACAGACCACACTCTTAACCATTGCTCTAAAATATCCCTTATTTCCTATGAACATCAGTCATATCTTAGGTCTAGTTGACACATAGATAATTGAAAATAGTGCAGTACAGTTCAGAGTTTCGGAAAGAACATTGTGAAATGCCTAATTAGGCATTCTCTGCTATCAGACAGGATTGTTCTCCCTCTACCCACCACCCCCCATATTAGAAGAGCTGTTAGTTCTCACAGCTTCGATGCCAGTTTCTGTCAGCTCAGACCCTTAATTACAATGTTCAGAATTTTTTTGGAAATGTAACTGTAATTTTTCATGGGGAAAAATATTTAAAAAAAAATAGTTTAATACCTGTTTCAGAAGAGACATTTAATAAAGATATTTTAATTCAGACTTTCTGTAATGCAAGAATGAGATGTGAGACGCAAGGAAATATGTTTAAATATTAAGCATGATATGCTATTAAGACTTGAGACTTAATGGAAACCTTTCTTTATTGCATCCCATGTTCTATTAAGTAGGATTTAAATGATCTTATTGTCACAATCAGTTGTACAAAAGGAATCAGTTCCATGTTAAAGGATTGAAGTTTTGAATATTCACTGGAAATAACATTAGATTTTATTAATTAAATAAAGGCTTCTGACCAACTTAGGACTTCTGTTTTATTTCCATCAAGTAGGTTGGCTATTTTGCATTTGTATTTTTGTTTACATGGTTAAAAATTAAATATGTATCTTAATATTGAAGTTTGTAAAAGATATCTCAAAGTTTATTTTCATTGAATATACATTTTAGATAATGAACCTCTAACTTGTATTTTCTTAAATTCTAAGCTCCTGCTTTTGTCCTCTTTTATTAAAGATGCAACAAAATACAGAAAGTTTTGTTTTTAGATTTATTTTATAATTGTTTTTTCTAATACTTTGATAGTGTTTCTTCTTTATTTCTCTTTTCTTTATGCTTAATTTTTCCTCATCATAAAATGCATAAAATTTTTAAATAAGTTTAGCTTCATATTTTAAGAACAGTGTATGATTCTTAAAAAATTGTTGATTGTATATACATAGTGATAAATGATATTTCAAAAATAAAAAAATTATTGAATGATATTAAATTATTGCTTGATGGATGACTTCTCTAGATGGAGAATATACTAATAGTTCCCTTACCCCTAGAAATCAAGGTTCTTTATTCCAGATATCTTACAACTATATAAATGATCACAATTTAACTTCAGAATTATATTAATATTTTATGTGAGTAATTTTGGAATTCTCCTTTTAATGGTAGTTATCAGTACCTCATAAAAGTCAGTTGTGACATACTCATAGACAAGTCTGCTTAAAACGTGGCACAATGCTTCATTTCTTGATAGTTTTAAATTAACTTGAATGTATCTAAGAATTAGGTAGAAGCCAGAAAAAGACCACCTAGTAAATAAAAGACAGAACCTATGGGCATGTTCTTGGCGCTGGCATAGCTGTATGAGGCTTTCATTCATTCTGTTTATTCTTAATTTACATGCAGTTTTAACAGGGCTTGATTTTTCTGACTTTCTGGATTATAACAGATTTGAAATAAATTAGAAAGGGATAGTATGCTTCTAGATTAGAAGTAGACTTTTAAATTACATTAAGAAGAAATCACATTGTTTTATGTCTTTGACTTTTCTTACGCAGAGCACATACTTTTGTAAATATAAAATAAATGAAATTCAGTTTAAAAAGGAGTAGCTGGCAGACTCATAGCAAGGAATAAGATTAAATAAAAACCATACAATCAGACATAAGTATTTAAAAACAGCAATCTTGACCCATTTAGATATGGGACAAAACAATACTTGAGGCATTCACTCTAGTTTAAAAAGTCTGAGTTTTTACTGATAATGTCTAACTGATGTATGGAAGGTTAAATCAGATTTACTATTCTGTTAAGGATATGTAATGTACTTAAGAAAGTCTTTAATATGAAGGAGGTAAACTTTAGCATTTTCAAAATATCCTTAATTTTTATAAACAGGATATTTAATATAAATCTGTTTTCCTTCTCTTTGTTTTTCTGTACTTTTTTTGTCCTCCTTTGCAGGTACCTGTACTGAAATAAAAATAAAGGTTAATTTGTTTATACTTATTTTGAATGTAAATAAAATCCATCATAGTCAAAGTAATTAATTTTTTTTCTCCAGGTGCTACAAAGTACACAGATAAGGACAATGGAGGGATGCTTGTATGGTCTCCATATCACAGTATCCCAGATGCCAAATGTAAGTTTTCTGAAAGTGAATGTTAATGTCAACAGGGGTCTCTCAGTCAATTCAAAATGTGACTTATATTTGTTTCTGGCTCTTTCGGAGTCTCATTAAAAACAGTTTTTGTCTTTGTTTTATTTTGTTTTTTAATGGAGGTTGTTCTATTAGAATGTTTTTCCTTTTGAAAGATAGTGGGTTGATCATTCCAATTTGTGTCAGGCCCATGAAGAATGAAAAACCTAGGATCTGATGGCATTGCTGCTTAAATCCTCAAGCAGGGGAGGGAGTTACTATGTAGACATCTGCACAGGCTTTTCCTCAGTATATGGAGCTGTAAAGAAATGCCTTCAAACTTCAAAGAGCCCACTATCATTACCATTTTAAAGAGGAAAGGGAAAAGAACTGACTTCAGCAGCCATCAGGTCATCTTTGTGCCCTCCATTTGTGGACGGAGACCTTCTGGATCATTGACCATGCACTTCTTGAATCATGGTGTGGCTTTAGACTTCAATGTGATGTAGCGGACCTGATCCTTTGCGGCACATCAGATATAGGAAACGTGCAGGTAACAACACTAAGATCCCCACCCCTCCATTCAGTTATCATTGAGTTTTTAAAATAACAGCAACAACATTGAACAGCTAATTCTAGCAGCTATGAAATAAACTTGTCTTTTTAGAATATTTACTAACATCTTAAAGATGTCTCATGACGGTTTATTTAGGCCCATGTAAATTAATGATATCCTCTCTATCATATTTATATAGTAAGTCTAATGTGTATTGATGCAATAAGAAAACTAAAAATTGGAAACTGAGTATGCTTCTGCATACCTGATAAGGCTTTCTATTTAAGAGCTTTAGAACACCAGCAAAAGGTCTAGCTGGTAATCTAGGAATTGGGTGCCCTGGGGCATTCTTAACAGAAAACAAATTATTCATTTGGCCTGGGACTGTGTACTAAGAACCTGAAAGAGACTATCGGGTTTTCCAGGTTCAATCATTGTTACAGGCAAAGGTTTTCATTCACAAACTGAGCATCAGGGTGTCACTGAATTGTGCTGTTTTAGCCTGGTTTTATACAAAGGTGCATTTCTTAGCACAGTGGAAAACAATTTAGCCAACATGTCCTGGTAATGTGATGTTCATGTGGAATATCCTGTTGAAGGTCTAGGGCAGTGGTTTTCAACCTTGGCTATGTATTGGAATCACTTGGGGAACATTGATTTTGAAGTACTTATGCCTAGTCTCTGTATCAAACTGATTAAATCAGAATCTTCAGGGGTGGAGTCTGGACATTTTACTTTTTAAAAGCTCCCACACTGGCTGGGCACCATAGCTCATGCCTGTAATCCTAGCACTCTGGGAGGCCAAGCAGGAGGATCGCTTAAGGTCAGGAGTTCAAGACCAGCCTGAGCAAGTGCAAGACCCTGTCTCTACTAAAAATAGAAAAAGTTAGCCGGGCATGGTGGCAAGCACCTGTAGTCTCAGCTACTCGGGAGGCTGAGGCAGGAGGATTGCTTGAGGCTAGGAGTTTGAGGTTGCTGTGAGCTAGGCTGACACCATGGCACTCTAGCCTGGGCAACAGAGTGAGACTCTGTCTCAAAAAAAGAAAAAAGCTCCCACACTGATTCTAATACATAGCCAGGATTGAGAACCATAGGTCAGTTGGTATTATTTAACCTTCTGTCTATAGGACTATAAGATATTTTTGTTAAATTTAATCAGCATATATTTAGACCTATCATGTTTTTGAGTCCTTTGGGTTTTAAACAAAATGTAATATTTGGAGTTTCTGCACCAAAGCTTACACTTGGGAAGACATAATAGCACCCACAAAAAATAGTTGTTATTCTAATAGCGTTATTGTTAGTAGCATATTCATATATTAAACTGTACTGACCATTAATCATAGCAAATACTTATTAAGTGCTTAACATATGCCAGGTGCTGTTGAGAGCACTTTCCATATATTAACTCACTTAATCATAGGAGGAGGGTACTGTTTTTACCAACAATTTAAAGTGAGGAAACTGAGGTACAAAAAGATAAGTTACTTGGCCAAAAATCAAAAAACTAGCAACAAGCTGAGAATGAAGCCCAGGTAGACTAGCTGTTCCAGGATCAGAATTCTTAACCACTGCTTCTCAAATATATTTTTAAAGAATTTATGTGTGTGTGTGTGTATATATATATATAATTTTAAAGGGTCAAGAAAGAGTCATTATATGGACTTCACATAAAATTGAGTCCTGCTGAATGTGGCAGACTTCTCAGCAATGAGGCCTTCAAATAGCCAGTTGATCATCATTGAAACTGCTTATCTAAATAATTCTGTTGGCTTAATTACATATGGAGGATAAATGAAATTGGAATACTCAAACACTCTTTGTATAGCAAACAGGAAGAGCTTAAGAAAATTTAAGGATACTGAAGCATACTTAAATGTGTTATTATTATGTTTAGCAGGCAAAGCTGTAGATAAACCATCCTTTCTACAGCAATCAGAAAGGGAATGATAAAAAAAAAAAGGGAATGATAAAGGCTTTGGGCCAACTCTAAACATGAGAAAGGGTCTTAAATAGCTAAGTCTCTTCAAATAAAAACTGCAACAGAAAATCAATAAATTATCATTATATTTTACAATGTAATTAGATTCTTTTGGCTACCCACAGATCTTTTTCTTCATACAAAAAAATATAGTAGTAATGTTATTGAATTTGATAAGTATATGATATATAGTCATAGAGATAAGTTATACTAAATAAAATTTTAAACCAGGTGAGCTTCTGATACTATTCATATAAATCTCTTTTTATGATGTTTCATAGAAGATGGCTTTGACTAATTTTTTTACCCTTGGAATATAAATTATTTTGTTTTGCTGTGTTAAAAAAAAAAAAAAGTAGACCTGACCAAGTGAAGTAAATGAGAATGATTAATTATATAACATTGTTTCATTACAGTGGATGAATATATTGCAATTGCAAAGGAGAAGCATGGCTACAATGTGGAACAGGTATGTAGAGAAACATTTTAATACTAAGGCTCCTCTCAATATTTATCAGATCCACAGAGTATCACATGATAGTTTCTGTCCTAAGAAAGTGCATAAGTTTGACCAACCTTATAGATACCACAAAAGTCCTGGCAAAATCTGACCTTTCAACGTTACGGATTTTGCTTTTATAAACATTGATCATCTCAAGGGCTTGAACATTTTTTCTCAGTGCCTGTTTCTTATTCTACTTTGAGTTCTGAAAGCTTCTGAGAGCCTTCAGTATTACTCTGGTAAATGCTTAAAAAAACGAAAAGTAAGTTTTGGTGAATTTTGGGGTAAATATACATGGATAGGACTTTAAAAACAAATCTTCTATTTATAAAAAAGTTTAATTCTCTTTTGACTTTTTGTTCTAAAGGATCTAAGAGTTAAACCTTTTATTTAAAGAAATATTTAAGACTTCTAAATTTCGAATGAAATCACAAAAGGCTTTTTTTTTGGTTAGATAACT